GTAATAATTTATGTAAAACGTTTTAATTAATGTAATACCAAATTGTTCAATAAAGACCGAGGCCAGGCCTCACTCTAATAAAAAAAAATATATATATATATTGGTTGCAAAGAGGAAGTTATCCTTCCCAAAAGGCCTTTTCGGGCTTTATTTATAATTAAAATCTTCTATGTACATTATGCGATGGATACGACTGATATCATTGATACTATTAATCTGTCGTATCCTACTGATATTTCCCTTCCACATGATCTCTGCTATCCGCCACATTCGACGTATGCGTCACATGCGACTGATTGGTCGCATGCGACGAATGCGACGGATGCGATCGGCTCCTTCCCTAATTAGGTAATATCCCACCCCGAACGGCCAGGGTCCATTCGGGTCCCACACTGTGCAAAAATAATTACGCCATTGACACAACTCCTAAAATAGTAACTAACCTTAATTAAGTATAGATATGCTTCAAGAAAGATATCACCTCTGCGCGGATTTCACCCTTTCATAATATTTTAACCATAGTCTTTTAAATTCAATTTATTACTTTTAGAGGTTTAAATTTAATAATATAGAAGAATGCGTAATATATTTTTTGTAAATACACTTAAAATTTTTTTATATTAAATTTTATTTCAAATGCTACAGCCAACGTTACTGCTTATGATATGTTTAATTACGGCATAGTGGAATATATTCCATACATAACTACTACCATATTTCTTTTGGGTATCATGATGCTTATACCGAAGCTTAAACCAATCAGAAAATTTATATTTTTTATGATACAAATGTTTTTTTTATATTCATTTCCCTTTATATTTTTTTATTTAAAAGAAGGATTTACGTTTAAAACAATAATTCTTTTAATTTCATGTGCATCTGTATTATACTTACCTTAATTAATCATGTACTTAAATTATTTGGTCTAAGTCTAAGTTTTATAAGTGTCATATGTTTATTTTTTTTCACACCTTTTTTAATTTGGTATTTTGAAGAAGGTTTTGATACTGTAGCAAAAATTTCCCTATCTATGTCTGCTATAATGGTGATAAGTATTTTAATATGCATGTTTATGTCATCTTATTCAATTTGCTGTCACATTTTTCTGCATTTTTTTATTATACTACACGGCCATAATAATTGCAATAGTAGTTCTTTACTTCAAGAAATATGGAGTTCGATTCAGTTTCATTTTCAATTTGATTTCCAAGCATTTTTTGATGAATTTCTTTTTGAGACTATTGCGGGTATTGTTAATTGTTTTATACCACTTTTAATTATTTTACTTAAATTATTTAAAACTTGGGGTTTTATAGTTCTTCATATATTGGGTGTTACCGGTCATTTTACCATTTTTTATTTATTATTAGAACGAGTAAATTCTGCTTCTCTTCTTTTATTTTGGACAGATTTCTGGTGCCTTATTTGTGGTATATACTATATAATAGAATATTCTGAAGAACTTACTTCTTTCGAGTTTGGGTTAAATTACAACGATAATAATAACGATAATCAATTTAATATTGAAATGTCATTTTCACAGTCATGATATAATAGTATATAAATAGAACTTTATATTATTATTTGATTGATTTTTACATATTTAAAATTAGAGATGTAATCGGCTGAAATGGTTCGGCTTGGCTCACTAAAGCCATAGCCGAAGTCAAACCATAGCATAAATAGCCATGGTGTAGCCAAGCCATGCATGTATCATGGTTTGAGTTTGCCAAGCCGTTTAAGTCATGCTTAGTTTTCTGAGCCGTTGCTAACTATGGCTTAAGCTATTGTGAAGCTACAGGACTTAAATCGGCTATGTCTGACGCCAGCTTCAAAATCATGGCTAAAGTTTATCAGCTTGGCTCAGGCTATGGCTAAAAGCCAAAGCCGAAAGCCATACTTCTCTGATTCAAGCCATGATTTTAAAGGCTTGGCTTGATAGTGGCTCTGGTATCAAGCCACGGCTAGAGCCGGCTTCAAGTGGAGCCGATAACATCTCTATTTAAAATATTAGTTTTAATTTTAATTTTTTTTAAAAAAAATCGGATCATTTGCATTATTTTTATAATAGTTTTCATATATTATTTGAAACTTTGATAATAGTTTTTCTTTGATGGTATCTATATATAGAAGGCTCAGTATAAAAAACTAAACCATTTTTCATTTTGACTCTTTCATATGAATGTCGCCAAAAGAAAAACCTGCTATCAGGTTTTAATTATATTTTGTATCGGACACAAATAGTCTAATTGGTTAGGGATTGTGTCCAATACAAAATATAATTGAATGCCTGAGGACTGATTTTATCTTAGCAATACTCATATATTGAATATTCTAAATATAAAATCTTGTTATAGGATTGATCAAATTTAAAAAATTGGATTTAGGTTTGTAATTTTTTAACAAAGAAATCTTAGAAACGATCTAACATTTCTGGTGTTCAAGGGCAATTTAAAATCATTTAATTGATTTTGGCACAGATTATTAAAAGTTTGAAATTTCTGCAAAATGTGCAAGCTGTGAATAAATGAATGATAAAATTTGATAAACAGCATTTTTTCATGCTATTGTATATAGCATTTTATATTCACATGATTTTAATTTATAAATGGTCCGTCATTCGTTTACTAAAAAAGAATAAAATATTAAGCAAACCGGAAACTTTATATCATATTTAATAAAGCTGCTGAAGATATTTGCAAACATTGCCGAAATTTCCAAAAAAAACTATATAAAATTTAATAACCTTTATGTCAAAGCATGAGCAAATCGTTAAAAAAATCCCATCTACAACATGAATAAATGAAGCCAATTTTTTAGTTTAAGTTTTTTGCACTACAAAAGTCTCTAACTCTTCAACAACAAAATTATTGACATTTAAATTCTTCTCATAATGACATTGTGTACAAGATCCATTCTGACCATTTAATATCAAATCAGCATTTCCAAAATTCATCCAATTTCCGTCATAACTATAAATTGCTGTCGAAGGATTTTTCACGCGGCTAAGTGCATAATTATTAGAACTTTTTACATCTTCAAAACAAAAGATAAAGCTACAAAATTTGTATGAATAGGAAAATAATTATATGCATGCAATTCATAAAATCCATTATAAATTGTAACTCACCTGTCATTAGTCGTTTCCCATTGTTCATAATTGTTGCCATAATAATTTCCATTATAATCACAATCGTTTCCATAACCATCACAATAATGATTAAATTCATCACATCCAAACTCATACATACAATCAACATTATAGTTCTTATAGTTATAATTATAGTTCATATTTCTCAACCCTAGAGGGTTATATCCACCAATTATATTTTCTGAGTCGGAGATCTTAATTAACCAAAGAATTGCGCCATTAGAATTATTATGAATAAAATTCTCGTAATTAAATCCGTCGCGTGATGCTCGGTAAGTAAGTTTAAATTGATAAACAGGTTTCCTAGCAAAATTTGTTCTTTTTTCGATCCAATTAGTAATGATAGCAGCTTTGTCTTTTTCAATTATCATAGAATCGATATTAATAGATCCATAACGTGAAGGCAATTTTGAAACTTTAGGGGTTATATTGGCCATAAGATAAGTCACCAAATCTTCATAAAGATCTTCTGGTATCGCTTTTTTATAAGGTCTTATATGAAAATAGAAATCATTCCGAGATATTTCATGAAATCGAATATATGGTATGAATGGATCTAGAAATTTTTTGAATGACGCAAAATCATTCTCTCCCCAATTAATGACGTCCTTAGATTTCCCTTTAGAAGTAACGGATTGTTCTGTTCCCAATTTTACTAAATATTTCCAAGTATCAATTTCTTCAATATCCATATCATTTCTCATGACAAGTTTCAAATAGATATCTTTGTCTAAAGTCAGAAAGTCTTTTAACTCAAAGAATGATTTTGGATTCTTGCAGATAGTTTTCATGATATGATCTTGTATTGTCTTGCAACTTTGAAGCTTAAAAACCGTGTGCAAAATGATAACAAGATGTTTTTGCAACCAGGATGATTCTTCATTAATGAGCTAAATTGATTTATTTAAATTTTTATATTTGTAAAAATTAAATTTAGGTACATGCACCGAAAATAATTAATCTTACATGATGTTGAATATAATTAACTAATTTATTAGGTATTAACTCATCAGCTGCGACAAGAAGTGCAAGGATGTTGAACCCTGATTGATTAGTTAGGTCAAGAACTCCTGTGTAGATATATCTTATAAACATTAAATCAAAAAAAAAACAAGTTAATAAGAATTTAACAAGCAATTTATATTAATTTAGCATACCGAAGAATCAAAAGAAATACAGCTGGGGTGATATTTGGCATTTTAAAAATAATAGCACCATCTTTGCGAGCTGCCCGTTTACTAGACAAAGCAGTTTTGAAATAAGGTGACCTAGCGCGCAAAATATTTGAATGTACATTAAATTCTTTAAAATTTTGTTTTTCTCCGGCTTGAATAATAACATCGTAGTCATCAGATTCATCAAGTAATTGAGAAAAATCTTTTGAAAGTTCTTCAAAGAATTTTGCAATTTCCATGATTATCACTTTTTGAAAATAAAATTGATCTCTTCTAATATATTATATATTATTTGAAGTTTATTACAACATTTATACCATAATAGAATCTAAAATTCGTATGAATGACGCACGGTTTCACCTGTGCTATATATTAAACTTTTTATACTATTTATTTAGTCTATTTTATTCATATTCCATAAGTGTGCATTGCTTTTTTGACGTCTAACATAAACGAACTTTATAAATTTTTTTGTTTGTCATGTCCGAACATTTTCATTGGGTACACTGGGAAATTATGTCAGAGACACAGGTCGCATACTAATTATTTGACATTACACGCGTACTAATCTGACGTGCGGTTTTACACAGTATTAGTTAACATTATCATTTTAAATAAAGCATGTTAAATTGATAGATTTAAAATTCGCACATGATTTACAATAAAAGTTTGGATAGCGTATTTTTTAAAGATCATTTTGCTTTATAAGCATTAGAACGTTCTTGTGGTGTTTGTTAAGGATAAATAATTAATTAATTTAAAAAAATATATAGGTGTTGAGATACGATGTCATCAGGTACTTTTTTGTCGATTAGAACTTGCAAAGGTAAATAGATGCTTCATTGCTAGAACATGTATAATACTAGTGACATAAATGCATCTAAAATGAGACATCAGAAGAAACTCTAAAAGTTTAGAAATTAGATCTAATTCGAAAAATAATAATCTAGAATAATCTGAATAAATCAAATAATTTATATTCATACTGGATACAATTTCTACCTAGAAAATAGTAAATAGTTTAACATTTATCCGTAATAAATCGTCCTGTTCATTTTACCGATAATCAATTTACCGTAGTGAGTTAAGTGATAAGTGACGTTGTCACGCAAAACCAGGAACAGGAGACGTGAGCGATATCGGTATTGCATTTAGTAATTTATAGGTTGTCGCACTATTGAATGTGTGATGTATGGTGACGAAGGACAAATAAATTCTTAGGATCATATATAGAATGACGTGATCAGAAAGATTTAAAACAAACGTTTGTTTGTCAAAAATTTACCTAATAAAAAATTTTTTCAAAGATTCACCATCTTATTAATTTTAACCTTAATACAAATGTTAGTCTTTATAGGAATGAGTTTTAAAAAATTTTGCATTACTTGAATGTGTTCCAGGTTCGTGATACAACAAAAATCCTTTAAAGCTTATTTATGTTAGGGTTAGAGTCAGGTTTAGAAGGGAATAGTTTATACAGTAAAATTGCCCAACGAAAACTTTTTTTAGAGCATTAAAGATGGTTGGTTACTTATGCTGATTTTTGAGAAATAAGAAATTTTTGACAAAATGAAGGTTTTCTTTGAATTTCTTGATAGTGTTAAGTTCTACCTGATCTTGGAATCTGGTTCGTAATTTAGGAAATCTGTGTCATAAGTCCGGCACACATTCAAGAATCAAGAATTTTGTTTATGCTACAATCTGGCACACATTTCATGTGGCAAATATATGCACTACGGTTAGGTTACTTGGCATGCCATCTTAGAGAAATTTGCATGTCACCTGTCGTCCTCCTTTCGTTCATTATTATATTGCTTTTTTATTATAGAGTTGGCCATTTGTGCAAATGTATCGTTTTATAAATGCATGTGGGTCAACGGATCGAAAATAAAGGGTTGCACTGGTCAGGGGTTACACGCCACGTTGGGGTATTCGGTCAACTATGTTTGACAAAACTATATGCAGTATCTTATAAAAATCAATTATCACAGATTTTGAATATATTATACAATAACAATAATAAAATTAATATATCGATACATATTAATATATATAAATTAATTATATAAGTTATATACTTATTTTATGAAGTTAATAAATTATGAAAAAGTTTGATGTGATTTTCTTCCCAAATTGTAATGACAGAATTTCTTACAATGTAGTTCTTGATTGTTTTTTTCTTTGGGTTCATATTTTATTAAAGCCTGATTTCAAATCTTCATGTTCAATTTTATTTGAAACTAAGCAAAGTTTAGATTCTTTTAAGGATAAAAACATATTAGCATGAGTTTTTAGGTTAAGTTTGTTAAAAAGTTTTTCAACTTGTTGCTTATGAATAATAATGAAATAAATATAAGTTTGAACAAAGTTGTAAAGTTTAGGAAATTTATATAATTTTTTTTTTTTTTTAAAGATTAAGGTGGGTACTTGTGACTCAGGATTTTATTGATAGTATATTTGACTAATGGTTACATTACAATCACAAGAGGCAATCAAGAAAAGAATATACAACTAGTCACTTATACAACTTTAGTCTTTGTCTAATTTAAGTAGTTCACCCAAAGGTTCTATACTAGTTGCCATACCTGAAACCTGCTTGTAGGTTCCTTATTTAACCATTCTAGTTTCTATATCCACCCACCTATCTCTGCCTACCAATGACCTCAGCTGATGCTGGTAAAAATATGCTATAGTCATTAAGTCTTTAAAATGGTTCACTCATATAAGGAATCTTTGACCTTGTACTATACCTTCTAGAATCTTCTGTATCTCATTCTTATAGCTAATTTTGTATCATTATGATTGAGATTAATATTAGTTGTCAGGACATTCTATTAAACTGCTATGTCCTTATAAAGTTTACCCCAATTCTGGTATTGATTTCACAATATATTCCTATTACTTTGTTATTCAATTCAAGTTCTACCAAGCTGTCATTTCAGATAGCCTAAAAAGATGGATCATAATTATATCTCTGGTTTATATGTTCTCTGGCATGTACTCTTTTTCTCTAAAATCCAGAAATTTTAGTAATCTGATTGGTTCATCCAGTTCCTTCCTAAAGACCAACACATTTGCTTGGTTTTATAAGTTTTAGCTCTGTTTTATAAGTTTAGTCTTTATAGTAGCATCATTAAAGGTTCAGGTTACCTCTCTACTTAGATCTTTTAAGTAAATTTCTGTCTTTCTATCTGGTTCCTGTGATTTACATGACCTAAGAACTTATCTTAAGGGGTGCAGGTCAAAATTCTGACAAACAAAATCCTAACAGGTCATAATTTCAACAAAAAAAATCTCAACAATCAAAAATTCTAACAATTAAAAATCCTGACAACTGAAATTTTTAGGCAAAAAATTCCAAGTATAAGATATGTTTAAAATAAAATAAGCTTTTATAATTTAATTAATTTTAAGATTAAATCACTTTAGATAATAGTTGAAATAGAGTTTACTATGGTCTATTATATTTTTTATTAGAATTTTTAATTGTCAGAATTTTAACTATTAAGATTTTTGACTGTCAGAAATTTTAGTTATCAGGATTTTTTTGTCAGAATTATGATCTGTTAAGATTCTATTTGTCAAAATTTTGACTCAAACCCATCTTGACTTCACACTACATAGTACCAGTTTGTGTTTTTTTTGTACAATATTATATAAATGCCTAGACCTTTCAGTTATATTGATATAACACAGATTATAAGTATCTAATTCTAACCAATTATATAAAACAGTTAACTGTAACATAAAAAAAATTGCAAATTTGTATTATTACTAGAATTTGAACTCTAGACCTATCACTTGGAGTTAACAACCTATCCACTTCACTAGGTTGCTACACTCACTAATTTATATAATTTTGAATTATCAACATAACAGAAATTTTTAAATTCTTTATAAAATTTATTATTTTATAATAATAAAGTATATTAGCCAAAATTATTAGTATTATTATTATTAATATTATTCTTTAATTTATTTACATACTTTAATTCAAAATCTGAAAGTAATTTAGTCTAATTCTTTTTAAGAACCACAAATCAAAAACTTTTTACAAATAATTGTATATAATCTTTTTCAAGTTCAACAAATTGTAAAAGGCAAATGTAACTATTAGTTCATCTATTTTTTGAAGCATTTATATATTTTATTTATTCCATTTTTTAAATTATTAAATATTTGTTTAAATTTATTACTTAACAATATATCAACAGTTTCTAATAATTTATTAGAAAAAATATTTTAAAGTTATTTTAATGTTTTTAAGATATTTTTTCATTTATAAACCTTATTTAATAATTTTTATACTCTTCACTATTTGGTAATTGAACTAATTTATTATCTTTAATATACAGAAAACAGAGTCTTGACTAACTGAAAATTGAACTAACAGTTCATAAAAGTATGTAATAAAAGTTATCAGACATTTTATTTAAATATTAAGTGTCAAATTTATTATTCATAATTTAAAAAAATTTCAGTTTTTGAGATATGTTTTGGGCATTTTATGATAATTTTCTAATTGTTAAACAAATTATTATATAAATTTTTCTGAGTTTTATAATAATTAAAATACTGTTTTGTAATTTGTAATTTATATCTTCAACATAATCAAAAGGATAATTAGTATTTATTATAATTAAAACCTAACAATTTGAGGTATAGCAACTTAGTGAAGTGAATAAGTTGTCAATCTCCCAAATAATAGGTTGTAGTTTAAAATCTACAAATAACAAAAATTTAAATAATCACTTATGTAATATTTGTATTATAGCAACTGTTTCTAATAATTAGGTTAAGATATCTGTAATTATGATTGTACTAGCATGACTGGCAGGTCATGAAGCATCTGTGTAACTGGTTACACAAAGGAATGCAAACCAGCATCAGGCAATACAAACCCAAAATAAGTTCTTGTGGCCATGTAAATCTATAGAAATTGGGAAACAAGAAGCCTATTTGGAAAGATCTGAATAGAGAAATAACATAAATCTTTGATAGTACTATTGTAAAGGCTAGACCT